CTTGTTCTTGCCGCATATCAACTTGTGTTGCTCCAACGCTTGATGACCCCGAAGAATATGCTTTTTAGGCTGATCATCAAAACTGGTGAAACAACGTTTGCAAGTGTATATGCGACCTAGGTGTTTGGTTTTTTGGCTGCGCACAAGCCTCGAAAAATCGGAAATGTATGCGTAATGTGACTTTTCAGAGTCACCGATGTACAACAGGTCAAAATGATTCTGTTGCTCTTGGTCGGCGACTCTTAGCGGATACACCAACCACTTCATCTTATCGTCGTCTCGTTCCAAGCCGTACACGTTGACAGACACGTTAGGGTTTCGTCGTTCAAATATTTTAATTTGGGACACAGGTGTGGGGAACGTCAATCCCGTGAAATCATACCTGTGTTCCTCGTTAAAATATTTTTCATTAACGCGATATTTATTACTCCCTCCAACGTGTCTTGCCAAAATGGACCACTTGAAACAAGACTGATCGATATTCTGTGGGTTGATGATTGCTTTTCTTTGGTTAATCTCTGGTGGGACAGGAATATATGATGAGCCGGCGAGGGGCGTATACTTGTATACGCTGAGCATAAGGCCGTCGATATGCGTTAGCGTGAATCCGCTACCCCTACCCGAGTACGCGTCTTCCTCGGCAAGCATAACCTCAAAATCTTCATCGACCGCACACCCGATATCCGTATCGGATAGCAATGCCCTAGCCCGTGTCTTGAAGGCACGGTCTTCGGACGGTGCTTCTGATCGCGGTATATGGTATGAGGCCTCCAATTTGAGATTATACTTGATCGGCCGGTTACCTACAATTTCAGCGAGTCTGGCAACCAGCTCGGGTTTAACGGCGCGCAGAAAATCTCGATAGCTCGCGAAATTCTCCACGTTCTTCCGATAAAACCAAACGGCCCCCCGCTCCAATGCGGAATCGATCTCGGTGAAATCACGGGTATCCGTCAATTGCATACGTAACCTTTTCGACCTAACCGCGCTGTTGTTGGCCCTACTACGCTTCGCCGTCTGATGTGACGAAACAGATGTCGTGGAAGTAGCTTTAATCAAAAATAAATTATTTATTTATTTATTGGAAAAAGATAAATAAAAATAGTAGGGATGATAAAATTAAAGAGAAATGTTAATAATTGTACATACCTGTTGAAGACGTTTGCTGGTTCATGATTTTTTATTTGCGCGTTAAAATAATAAATTTATAGTTTTCAAATAATCAACTGTGCGTTAACGTTAATTAAACATGAATGTGACAGGATACAGAGCGTTTAACCGGTTATATAGTAAAATAACAAAATGCGTAGGCGTTAAAAAAGACAACGTTGCCATTTTTCTCATGAAATGGATACAACAGTGACCATTAATATATTGTAACATCTTTGGAAATATGCTGACCTAAGCGTCTGGCATCCGATGATAAGATTCATACGACATTTTTATGCGGCGACCTCTTTGATGTTTGAAATATGCTGACCTAAGCGTCTGGTTACCCATGATAAATTTCTTAGAATTTATTATGCCATAACGACAGACGTTGTCTTTGTTCTTATAAAATGTAGACGGTAATGTGGATTATGATATGGCGGTACCTTTTATGTTTGAAACATGCTTAGCTATGCGTCTGGTAGGCAATGATAAAAATTCTTAGAAAAAGCAATTATTTTTCGTAAAATGTTGACGGTAATGTGGGATTATAATATGGCAGTTGTTTTCAAGTTAAGTTTCATTACCCCTTCGCTCATTAGGACGTTGAGGAGATCCCCTACCCCCAACGACTTAGGTTAGTATTCATTGGGTTTCACACATTGTGCGCACCTCACGCCCAATTCGGTTTACCCACTCAGCTGTTATCACCGAAGTGTTATTACCAACGATTGTATGTAGGACGTTCTCGACGGTGACAATTACTTGATTGTAACCACCGATAACGACGTTATAATTATTATGTATAATTCAATTAATTATAACTTCTGTAATAGTCAAGGACAAGTGTGCGGCCGATAATTGACGTACACTATTTCAATGTAATGTATACATTAAATGATAAACGCAGTGATGACTCGTGGTTGCTGGTGGTGGGGGAGCGACTTTAAATGTAATACCTCTAGTTTTAGGTATAAAAAAATTGTCAAATTAAATATAATAAAATAAAATGCGATACACATATTATTATTTTAAAGGCGCAGTAGAAAATAATAATAATAGCGATTATACTATTATAGCAACCTAAACATAGTAATTCTAAAAATATATTACCAATTATAGTAATTATATTAATTATATAATTAATAGTAATATACTAATATTAACGAGATGCTTTTCTAAGCATCTGATGGTAGGCAATGATAAAATACTATGTAAAAAATAAAAATGCAGATGTCTATGAACGTTAATTAATACAGCGGTACCTTTGATGTTGGAAATATGCTTAGCTAAGCGTCTGGTTACCCATGATAAATTTCTTAGAATTTATTATGTCAAAACGACAGACATTGCCATTGTTCTCATAAAATGTAGACGGTAATGTGAGTTATAATATAGTAATACATTTGACGTTTGAAATATGCTGACGTAAGCGTCTGGTTACCAACAATAAAATACTATGTAAAAAATAAATGCATACAACAGTGATTATTACTGTACGGCGAAATCTTTGATGTTTAAAATATGCTTAGCTAAGCGTCTGGTTACTCATGATAAATTTCTTAGAATTTATTATGCCATAACGACAGACATTGTCTTTGTTCTTATAAAATGTAGACGGTAATGCGGATTATGATATGGCGGTACCTTTGACGTTGGAAATATGCTTAGCTAAGCGTCTGGTTACCCATGATAAAATTCCATAACGACAAACGTTGCCATTGTTCTCATAAAAAAAATTACAGACGCTTATGAGCGATGTAATGTAATGATACCTTTAATGTTTGAAATATGCTTAGCTAAGCGTCTGACACCCGATGATAAGATTCATACGATTTTACTGTACAGTGATCTCTTTGATATTTGAAATATGCTTATCTAACCGTCTGTTAGTCTGGGTTATAATATGGCGGTACCTTTGACGTTGGAAATATGCTTAGCTATGCGTCTGGTAGCCAATAGTAAAATTGTTATAATTTATTTATTATATACATTCTATAGATGTGCGACAAATTAGTATAAGTCTTGTTTCATCACCACCCATTATAGGTTAGTTTAATTCAAGATTCATTACCCCTTCCTATGTAGGAATTGTTAACAGACACCCCTGCGGCGTTAATATTATGCAATTGAATTACACTATTTCAATGTAATGTGTACGCTTATCAGTGAACGTTATCAGTTCACATGAGGTTTACCTTACCCTCCAGTAGATGACATCGTAAGAGGTGAACAACCATTTCCGAATGGCTACCTCCCCTACCCCCTGACATGGAGTTATAGTGCGCATGCGCACTTTAACCACCATTTTAATTTACCTTAACACCCCCACCTAAGTTACCTATTACTCCCACTATCGTGAGACAACGCCTCCCCTTACCACATCATTGATAAGACCACGCCTCCTCAATGATAAGACTACTCCTTCTCTTTACCCCTACCATCGAGAGACCACGCCTCTCCTTACCCAATCAATGATAAGACCACGCCTTCTCCTTACCCCCACCATCGAGAAACCACGCCCACTATATGACCTTGACATTACCCCCACCATCGAGAGACCACGCCCACAGTGTGACACGCCCCTCCCCCGACCACGCCCACCCACCATAGGGTGGGTAGGTGAAGGGGTGAGGCGGGGGGGTTCTAGAACTCTCTATTTTACCCTACTCTTGTATATTGTATACTAACGTATTTTAAATTTAATAATTTGTAAAAATTATGAAGAGATTATAAATAACATAACTGTGCTGTGCAATAAACTATTTTCAAGTGGCTTACGTCTTTTGAGACATCCATAGAGTTATCTTCGATAGATACGAGCTCAATTTCAGTTCTTAGCACAGAAAATTATACTAGTGTACTACACTCCTATGGCCCGCACTATTTCCTTTCAGAAAACGGCAGATATTAGACCAGCTGGTAGACAAGTGGAGAGACACTTCCTAATTGCTTGGGTAATTAGCATAATATTTCGACTCCAATATATTTGTATTAAGAGCTGGTTGTGTCAACAACCAGCTTAAATAATATCTATCTGAAATCTTAAATAATATCTTTATTTTTATGCAAAGACCTTTATGATATGTGGTCTACGAATTTTCAATCACCTGCACGACATAGGTTAGATGCGACTGTACTATAGATTTATGCACAATAAGTTATGTTAGTGTTATACAATCCGATAGCCCGCAATATTATAGAAGTCAAACTGACTAGTTCACAAGTGGAGAGATACTTTAGAGAAGTATTGTGGTTAATTTTGAAAAAGTCTTGGTCGATACATTTCCAAAGAGTTTACAAACAGACCGAGGTTTAGAATTTTTGACGTTTTAAATCTTTCAAGAAGAACACTAATATAAACCATATTTAACATACTCTATAATGAAAAATGCTGTTGTAGAGCGATTTAATAAAACACAAAAGGAAAAAAAAGTTTAAGCTATATAAGTGCACATATTTTTATAAAATACATTTAATCTTAATGATATTTTATTTTTGTAACGAGAATAACTTAAATACTACTATAGTTTTACTAATCTTCCTGTGGTGGTGTAGCGTAATGTCCGTAAGCCAACGTTTTTTAGCGTACAGCGCTTATCGTTGAAACGATTAAGCGACAATTTAATTGTGAACCAGCTAAAAGGTAGCACCACCATCAACCGTATAATCATTACCAGCCACTACATGCTTCTAAAAAGAGAACGGCCTCTCTCTCTTCGCTAGACTACCGAGGTGAAAAAGTGTCAATTGTGTTTTCCTAGGTGATAACCACTTTTTCGTTTTTTTTAAATGGCTGTTATATTTTTATCCTTTGATTTTTTTTAAATAAAACGTTGAGTTCTGATTATCACCAACAATACTTGGACGGGTCAACTAGGTTGCTATTTTTTTTTCTTTTAACAACAAAATATGAATCGGATTTAACGGCGTGCAGAATATCTCGATAAATCGTGAAATTTTTTGCGTTCTTTCGATAAAATCAAACAGTCCCCCGCTCCAACGTGTAATTTACCTTAGTGAAATCACGAGTATCCTTCAATTGCATATGTAATCGACCTAACCGCGCTCTTATTAGTTCTACTACGCTTAACCGTCTGACGTGGTATAACGGATATAAACAAGGTAGCTTTAATGAAAAAAAAAATGTATTTATTGAAATAATAAAATAAATTAAAAATAAATATAGAGTATAATTATAAATAAATGATAACTAGTTTCGGCTCTAAGCCATCTTCAGATTACTAAGTAAATAATAAAGCACTAAAAAAAAACAATTAAAAACTTCTTCACATCGAAGCTAAAATAAATAACGGAATAAACGTAATAAAAATAAATCGTAGAGTAAAAATAAAATTAATACATTATAATTCGTTATTGGATTTATTTTATTATTTTAAAATTTAAGGGTTATAAAAGTGTATTAAAATAAAAAAAGTTAATAATTGAAAAAATCTACATATCTTGTGCTGAAGACGTATAAGCTTGCTGGTTCATGATTTTATTTTAGCAGTGGGTGAGAGAGAGAGGCGGAGGGCGAAAGTGTCCTATTTAACCCTACTATCATTGAATATAGAATTTGGAACTACAGTTGTTATTTAATAAATAATTCAAACATTTGTTCTTTTGAGAGTTAACATTAGTTACCATAATCGTCATTATGGCCAATTTTATTTCGCTAAAGATAAATTCATATTTATTCATTTCATTTCATTTATTCATAAAACGGGACGAGCCCAATATTTTACAATTTAACAAAGATNCTACTAAACTATTCACAAAATAAAATTTAATAGTATACATTAATCGTAGGAATAGAATCTCCTTTACCTTGTATATAAAGTATTAACCAGGCTAGCATCTAGAACATTCGATACTGGCTCAGTTCTTTTCAATGCATAGGGCCTACGGCCGCCGTCGCATGAGTTGACGCGCCAGTAGTCGTCATCTACTCGTTCAAGAGTTATACAGTTCATTTGTGTACGAAATTTCTATATGTGAAATTAATATCTTATAATTAGTTACTGAGAAAAATAAATCTAATAATTGTTCAGGAGTATACCTGTTTATCCTATTCAATTGTCCTATTTAAATATTTTTTAACTTT